ATGGCCACTTGAAATAGGCGATATCTGAAGAGGCTAACCTACCGAAAAATCCTTAATCAAGCTCACAAATTTCTATGAAACAAAAAAGTGGTGTGGAAGTGTAATGCCTAAGCCCAAATACCAGACTGAAAACCATTATATCTCTTTCCTTCTTCGATACCTCAGGCAAACCAGCTAGGAAAATTCCAATTCTCTGACTCGGAAAGGATTCCAATTCCAGCTCACCACACGAAGACGTGCTGGTCACTTTTCTTGTCGACGTTGAGCTGCAATCAATGAGTGGACCGGCGGCACGAACACCGCTTCCTATCGGCATCCAACGGATCAAGTCCGATCCCGACATGGACATCAGTTCACTGTTCAGCAATCGTTTCGCCTACGAGCAAGAAGCTTATGAGGTTACATTTGGCTATTCAGTTGTTTGACTATTCCACAGTGTAGCTATAAGATTGCACTGCACCATCCAAGCTGTACTCTCCAGCTTTCTTTCCTTTGGGGGAAGGGGTTCATTTCGGTGTTGCGCTTCAGCGATCTCTCTTGCACTTTTTCCACCATTCTGTGCATTCTGTGATTTTAAGCTGCTTTTGCCAAGTTTGTTTCACTGCTTTATAATGGTACTCGTCACTTTCTTCTCGAGATTCCTCCAGTTCTAGAAGAAGCGGAGTTAAAACGCAGGTACACGCGTACGTAGGTTGTTATCTCTCTCCAGAACTGCAAAAAAAGAATGTTAGCATGGGCATGCGCGGATCTTTGACTGACAAAATGTATGAGCGTGTTTGAAAGCGATTAAATATTATTAAATCCACCTTTATTTCAGATGGGTTACACAATGGAGCGGGTGGCGTCTGTGGAGCAGTTGGCTTCAGCGCTTCGACGATACTTATTTGCCGCCGTACATTGGATCGAAGCGCTCTTTTCATTGGCACAAATCGAGAATGTGCCCGAAAAGGTCGGTGACATGGCTCGTGTACTGTCTATTACACTTAATTTTTGGGAAGCACATTTCGTGCTGGGTGTGTGGCGGGGTTACTTTTTCCAAAAGGCAGAGAGAGGGGGCGCACTAATGGGATGATAGTACTGTAGCTCCTATGTTCTGAGTGAATATGAAGCAGCCCACGTGGGCAGAATGGGATGTGCCTTTAAAGATAGAGGTTAACATAGAGCGCCGTATGAGTGACTTACTACGTAGCTTGCTTTGTGAGTGGTTTCTGAGAACACTTAAACCAATACTCTTTTCAGGTGGCTGTTCTCAAGAGTGTCTTCGCTCCGTATACCATCCTCTGTCAAGCGGCACGTACTGCGCAGGTGAGAAGATTCAAGGTGGGATTGGAGGCACTAAAAATTCATGAAAAATACTAGTCTTCTGAAGACTTGTAGGATCCGGCTTCCTTCTTCACCCCTTTCTTGGAACATTCGTACGGTATTACGCCTTTCATCCTACAGAACAACATGTCACTTTGCATGGACATAAATATAGTTTGCGTAAAGAAAATCAGATAAATAGATTCTGCGAAACATTTTATCTCAACTTCTGAGTGATTAGTCGAGTTCTTACCGCGAATGTCCTCCAGGTCGTGCCCCGCTTTCTAAAAATGGTTTCGTGCGTGATGTAGGGGCTTAAGCGTGGAATACAAAACTGTGGTTCATTTTTCTTGAACGCTCTGAATGCCAAAAAAAAACTGATTTATAAAATCCAAACGCACCAAACTTACCTTTTGACATAAGTTCTCGGCAAAATGCTACTCATACGGGAGGTCCTCATGGTAGTAAAGCATCCATTACCGCCAAGGGTACGACATTAGGACACCATGTTAGCGACAATCAAAAATGCAAAACTTTATCATCACGGGGAATCGTACCATGAATGCTGGGCACGACCTGCGAGACCTTCCTGGTTAGTTTTACGGCTAAATATGCTTCGATGCTATTATATAAATCATTTTGAGAACTTGTCATTTCCTCAAAGGCAGTGCGAGTGAAAAACGTGGGTTTCGCACCAGGGAAGTGTGTATATACGACAAAGAAGCGGAACCCCTACAGCAAAGGAAGATGAGAGGTTTCCGTGGTGAAAGGTGTGCCAGTGCAACGTAGTCAGTCCTCAGGCAGACTTTGCCCACCCCTAAAACGACCAGCCCTTGAAGTGATTGATGACGGGCGATGTTGTTGTTATCATTGTCATTTGATTTTCATATGGAGATCGCACTTATATGCAAGCCTAGAATTATCTTTTGATCTTGACATCTTTTGTATCGCATCGGGCATACTGTACGGCCAGTATATCCTCCATAATTTCCTCCAGAATCGACGGAAAGAATGTCGCATTTCTCGGCTTTTGACGTCTCTTCTGATTTCTTCTTATTCTATATGGCCTCGCTGCTTTCAAATTCGATCAGCATCAATCTGTCCTAATCCCTGCTTTTACTATTGCAAGGCTTTCCAAGCTGTCAATACTTTTTGCTGTACCCTGTAGTGTCAGATGGCATTGGTAGGACAATACTGAAGTAATACGGTAGCAATGGAGGAAGAGAGAGGAACGCTATCCGTCCGAGAGGGAAAGGTTGGCATTAGCTGGAATCGATCCGACTGATAGGTACTGATAGGTATCCGACTGATACTGATATAATCGATTGATCGAAAAATAGGAACTGCGCAATTTCTCGAATGATCAAATTGGACATTGCTTGGTTCGACGTGTCATTATTTCGCTCGTTTCCACCTAGGATGCCATGCTTTTATTTATTCTACTTATTTATTTATTATTTATTTATACACTCAACGGAGTGCGCCAATGCGCCATGTTGTCAGATAACTTTCATTTTTTTGCGAATTTTTTTTCGAATTTCTGACATTTACCTGGAATAATTTTCTTACAGATGTCTCGTGACTTAGACGTGATTTGCCTGTGCAATCGTACCACAATCACAAGACAACCTCCACGGCACCTCTTAGAAACGAAGTGAGTATTCCAGGTTCTCATATTTTGTGTGATGGATATCAACCATCAGCTTAAGGCTCCATTAGGGGCCATAAGTGTTTTACTAGCTGTGAAAAAAGCTCAAGACTTCTGTTAAGAAGGTTTACGGGAATTCTGAGAATGTTAAATGAGACACTTATAACGAGAGTTTTTTTTGGGATTACTTTACATGGGACTTCTTGCCAATGCGAACAGAGTTCCGTTGTTGATGGAAGTCTTTTGGTAAAATGTCTCTCTGAAAATGCCCCTCCATGACCAAAGCAAGCCTTTGTTCTATTGATCATCTGAAGCCACCGCAGTAAGCGTCCAGCTCAAACTGGCCTACAAGCGATTGCTCCAGTCCTGAACCAAGCGCCCAACCTTTTAAGTCGGATCAATGATAAACATTAGATCACAATAGCTTCAACTAAGCGAGACCCCTGCGGATTAGCATTTCGGACAACTTCATGAGCACTAAGGGAGGACACATTATTTGTCTAGTTTCCGTCTAAGGGCACGTGCGAAACGGAAACTAGACTACTCTTTGTTCGACCCCACATAATATATAACAACTAGAATCTTCTATCGAATCAACAAAATGCAAACTTTATTGAATTCACAAAAAGTAAATTTCATGTACATATTCGTAATATCTGGGATATCATCTCTGCAGGAACCCATACGACCCTTCCTCTCCTCCCCCCCCCTCCTCCCACTGCTCCTATAATGGCTTCACTAGCATTGGATTCTGGGACTCTGATACCACCCCATACAGTTCAGCTGCACTCAAAAATTCCTCAAAGCTACGATTGAACGAAAAGAGATTATACGGCTATTCAATACTAGTTATTTAGTATTTTATATTATCCTTCAAATCAACGACGCTTTCCCCGTTCGCAGCCACAACCCCTTCAAACCTACAAATACAACCTCTTGATGACAGTTGGCCCTTCTCTTTGAGAGTTGTGAAAGTAATTGGTGCACCTCCAAATGTTGCACGAATGGACAGTTTCTGCACGATTTGTTCTGAACTTATTTAGTTCGATGAAATCGTTTAACTTTGGAAGCCCTCATTCACTTCACGATTAGTTCACACCTCTCTGAACCATTTACAGAGGCTTACTATTTCAGTCTCTTGGCTAACAATCTCGTGCCACGAATCCTCGACGACCTGGTGGCACCAATGCGAAAGCTGTCGCTGAGTGAAGCCGAAATCGTTGTTCTATCCGCCTTAGTAATTCTAGATCCAGGTGAGATTTCATTTCAACGACAACTTTCCAAGATTGTGCGGAGCTGATTTGCACTGCTCCTCGTCACCAACACTTACCAAATCATTATATTACAACAGATTCGCCCGGCTTATCGGAATCATCGTCGCTAGCACTCAGCCAGCTTCGCGATCGTGTGCAAAACGCGTTGTTCCAGCTGATTCGTGAGAACTCGTCCGTGTTGCACAACGTGACGAGCCGTTTCGGCAACATTCTGCTCCTGCTCCCACCTCTAGCGGTAAGATTTGTTATAGTTATGCCAGAACGACTGCCCTTGTTCCATCAGTACCTGTTGGTCGTATCAACAAAGGCACTGATAATCCTGTTTCAGAAATTGAGCTCACTTGTCGGAGAGAATGTGCAATTTGCTCGTATGTTTGGCGGAACGCTCGATCCACTTCTTGTGGAATTGTTCGCCGACAACACCTCGGGGTGCGCCGTGTGTTTAGGATAGTTTGCCAAGTATTTATTGTTGATTACCTTTGTTGTTAAAGGTTATCTCATCACCGTCAACCAGGGAGAAAGCGGACGTATCCACTCAAACGTACCCGTCCACCTCACCGGCTCTGCCGTCTGATCTCGCGCCGTACACGATGAAAATCCCGTCAATGTACGGAACCACTCGCCAGCAACACTGTCAGCAACAGGTTAGAATTGCTTTTAAAACAATTAAATTCTGCGGTAACTTGGCTCTCCTCTCTTGTCTACTAGATCTTGCAAGGTTGCATCAAGATAATGTTATATAAATATATATATATCGAAATTTATACAGGGGGGGCCAAAAAAAAAGACATTTTGCCTATGTCGGACTTCGGCTCTTTTTTCTTCGCAGAGATTGCCGTCGTTGACGGGAGTTCCTCAGCAGAGTATTCCCTAAGTGTCCCTCTATAAGTGAACGCAGGCCCTCCTTCACTGCCCTCACCGTCTTCAGAATATGACGTCATCTGTCACCGTCGTCAGGCTCAAGGAGGTCTACCGTAAGAGCTTCAGCCTGAAGCTCTTACGCAATTTCGTGAATCGATTTAATGTTGGATAGTTTTCTAGAGGCATTAGCTACCACTGTGCAAATCCCCTCGGAACTAGCTTTCCAGTAAGGGTCGTTATGGTACACGATCCTTCGAAGACCCCATTGAGCTCGACCAGTGCACCATGTTTCCAGGGCAAATTCTTCTGATGCCGTCCACGTAGGTGGCCACTATGAAGATTTTCTTATAGAATGGAATGCGCTCTTTAATAATAAGTTGGAACCATTCGGTCTGAATTGAGCAAATGTGCTTAAATCCATCTGGAAGTGGAGACAAAATGTCTTTTTTTTATTGGCCCCCCTGTATATACCTTTACTGACACCATCTACCGAACTAATCGATTTGATCGAAATCATGAATTTTGCGGGGGGGGGGGAGGGTATTTCGACCTGTAGAACACGAATATCACATCGGTTCAGCGCGACAACGCTTGGCGCCCGCGCCACAGGCGCCGGCGCTATCACAACAGTTTTGCGCGGGCGCCCGTAGCGCAGGCTACAGGCTCACTCGCAACGAACTAATGTGATATTCATGTTCTACGGGTCAAAGTACCTCTGAAGACAAGTTTCCAGCGAATTTGTGATCCGAGATGTTCTGGCGCCTTTTGGCGCCGGCGCTTTTCTGGCGCGAGCGCCAGGCGTTCTAGCGGTGAACGAAATACGATATTCGTGTTCTACGGGTCGAATAATCCCTGATGGCAAGTTTCTAGCCGAATCCACAGTCATGGACAAATTTCGATAAAACGCCGGTCTCAGTTCTCGTTGCATGGGGCAAGTAAGGTAAATAGGGTCGTTAAAAGCGAGTATCAGATCCAGACCCATCAATCCTGGCCACCCGCTGACTGCTGGTTCATCCGGCACCGTGGTGCATCTTCGCATCGTCCAAACTGCCTGTAGTGACTCTCTTTTCTCCCGTTGGCGCGCTCGTATACCTTACTTCTTCTACTCATCAGGCGTAGAAAAGCGGTTTTCCGCCGGTTTTCGACGGTTTCCTGCCCTTTTCCTCATCTCTGCCCTTTTTTACCTTCTATCTGACCTGCTTTTGCTTTTTATCTCCTCTTATCGTTTGCTATCTTTTGCCGGCATCCGCCCTTTAGAATACCACGGCTCGCTACGGATCACTTGTGAACGCCAACGCTTCACATTTGCAAATTATATTACATAACTGGTAAATCAGGACTCATATAATAGATACAGGGCGGAAGTGGTGCAGTGACAAGTGGCGCGCTCACCACGCGAGCGGTCCGGGATCAAATCCTGGGTCGTGAGTCGCCCGGGCCAACCAAGCCTTCCATCCCTCCGGGGTCGGTTAATTGGTACCAGACTTGTCTGGGAGGATAAAAAACACTGACTTGAACATCGGCTGGCCCCCGCAAGTCATTGTATAGGCCACATCGCATTCAAATGCCACTACGAATGTACAAATGGAAGTAGAATGCGTGCCGCATCCCAAAAAGGGATTGATCAACGGCAAATGCTTTATCCTTTATCCTTTATGATACATCGTATAAATTCGTATAATTTCATATCGTATTAATTACACCGACCGATATAATTATTCACGCTGCTAGACTAACCTAAGAGCTCATAATGTTCTTCCAACGCTAATCTACAGCATGTATGAAGAGATTGGGCGCTTTGGATAGGGAACTGCGAAAGAGCGCGAGCAGAAAATCATGCATTCAAAAAACCGCTTAGCTAATATGGAAAGCAGTTATGAGCTTTGAGTCTCTAGGCGAATACCACGGTAAACACACAACTCCAATTGGCCGCGTTAGGCTGCTGATCCCGTAGTTAGGAGTCAGTTCAGAAATTCAAATACTGATTAAATGGCTAATTTCAGTCAATCCGTCGATGTCGTACAACCCGTTCTACTTCACCGGACAACAGTTCCAAATGCCGCATGCGGTCAGCTACGCTTCATCGCAGCCCTACACGCAGCCGACGTTCTTCGACTCAACCACAACACCAACACAGTTCCGGTTCATGTAGGCCATCACATGATCGTCATGATGGAAAATTTCGGAAAACAACAAAAAAATTTCCCGCTCCGATCGCTTCCGGTCATTAGGTGCATAACCATGCGTTGTCCAGTATTGTACTATTTTTGACACTAATTTTTGGCTGCATTGATCCTGAATCGTTTGTAAGAAAGTTTTAACCGCGTCGCTTCGCCGCAGTCAGAATACATTCAGAGCTTTGCCTTCGGCTACGTTGCAGACTTTGTGATGCAGAATCAGTCGCAGAGCAGGTTGTAACCAGGGTCAACCGTCCGTTGGACAAAGTCCAACGCGACGACGAGAGTAATGCCGAGAGTGAACGTACGCACGGAGACACAGACGGCTCGCGGGTGGCGAGAGTGAATGCCGGCGCGGAGAGCGGTCAACGTCGGTCCAATGTCGGTCCAACGTGACGGTTGACCCTGGTTGTAACAGCTCTATAGTTGCTGCGACGTTGCTGGGTAGAAAGTCGGGATCTAATCTGACTGTAGATAGTTTTCTTCACCACGCAAGCTACTCCCTCCATTACTTGTTTCATGTTTAATTCTTGTATTTCATTTTATTGGTTTTTGTTAATAGGCAGTATTCATGTTGATTTGCTACTTCGAATTCTATTTCTGTATCCACAGACCGACTGGTTGACGTGCGGTCATTTCCCATCGTTGCCACTTGCCTACCCCAGGCAGGCAATTGTCGCATGGCCCGCACACCAACGACAAATTGTGGTACGTCTCCTCAGTGTGAGCCCCTCTGAAGCAGAGCGGTATCAAACGGGCAAAACCAGGTTCCATCTACGATTCTATGCCGTGTAACACACCGGTTATTCTATCTCAGAAACTTGTAATATTCATTTTGATGTCCGGCTCGCAAGATTGTTTCAATATATTTCGATTGAAAACGTTAGAAACTCCAATCTACGAGTCGGATAACTTACGCTGTAATTTTTACTAATTTTTGAGTGTATTTTTAACGAAATATATCCTTTACCTCATTATTTGTCACTCCGCTTTTTCCTCACATATTATAATATTTGTGACTGTCGCTGTATTTGCAGAAGTGCGCGGCATTTAGTAGAAGATCCTTCCGACACACATCGCTGCTGATTTCCATATTTTCAGAATTGTGTCTATTATTTCTCCCCACATTGCTTGTTCCTCTGTGATCCGTCTAATCAATAATGAGCAGGAAGTAGGTGCACTATCACTGTTAGTTGACCGCTTCAGGGACGCGCCCATCTACGGACCTCGAAATGACGAGAGCACTAGTTAGATGCTTACGGATCGCCTCGTTCATGTGTACAAATATTCACCCGTGCACCGTATATCCCCACTAGTCACGTTAAGATATAGTGCTTTTCATAGCTGACTATGCTGAACACATTGTAATGTTGTAGTGCAACGATCACCTCATATAGTCGTTTCCTCGGACGAATCACCTCATCCATCTTTTATTATTTTTTAGCACTTTTGTGCGCCCTTTTTTCTTCACATTTGAACAAAGTACGTAGTAGAAATCCCGTTGAGTCATCTGGTCTTTTATATATATCGCTTCGATTCTACAAATTTCTATTTCGGTTACTTCTGAAACTTCTCTCCCCTATCTACGGATCTTTATTTCAATTTCTTAACGTGTAGTTTGTACATGTGTTGATCGACAATGATGAATAAATCCTGTCGAAGTGATATGTCGCAAGACAGACACCGGATATCTCAGAATTGTGTTAACTTCTCGGTCACTGCAGACTTCACTGGTGATTGCACAATCAGACTTAAAGGCACGGGCGGGGATCGAATTGGTGTACCATTTTATTTGAAAATTGGACAAGAAGTGTGACGAAGAACGTGAGTGGGGAGAAAAATGGCAAATTGGAAAACACTCGAATTTCCCTTGTGTGGTCGGCCGTGGTATGACGGAAAGACACAGCGCTGCGAAGAGAGGGAAACTCGAGAGAGTACACCGTAGGTGAGAGGACGCAAGCACCACGTGTGCCGCGATTGGGAGTGGCAGCGCACAAGGCAAGGCCTTAGGGCCAGGGTGAATATCGGTCGAGGAAATCCTCGACAGGGGGGTCGTATTTGTCAGGCTGGGTCATGGGGGTCGTACTCTTGGGGGTCAGTAACGTCAGTGGCATCGTGGTGCAGATAGGAGGATAGGGTGTAGCGCAGCAGAAAACAAGGATATGAGAAAAAATGATATAAATATTCTTTGCAGGTTCAGTCGCTCCGTCCCTCTACCTTCGAGAAGGAAGTATTTGAAAGTATACAAAGAATGAAAGTGCATCTTTGCAAGGAACAGGGTCACATGTGCACACGCGCTGCGAAGGCATTTCCTCTATCTACCGCCCGCTCCCTCCCCTCAATACCTCGTTTGAGAATGACACTGTTGTTAGGGACCCTGTCGCAAAAACGACAACCGTGAAGGAAAAGGCCCTGGGCAAATGAAGTTGTTCTTTAGGTTATAGGAGTTACGAAATGTGTTTACTACAATGCAGCTTCTGTCAACTGGTCATGATCATATAACACCTTCCAATCGATTCTGCAACTTTCGGATGCATGGCCTATACCCAGACAAAATCGGATGGTGACGATTGCCCCTTTTCTTATTGCTTATGTTGGAAGAATGTATCCTTTTACACATTTCGAGCGTTGCCAACGAATTACACTTGCAATGGTGAAGAAGGGAACGGCTTTTTGACGGTCGAGAATCATCCTCGATAGATCCTCGACGCGAATATCTCTTCAACTAAAGGACGTAGAAGGAAGCTAACATAAATGTCAAAAAGCGCAAACCTTCCGCTTTCCAAAACTTGCTTTGATTTTTTCAAGTCCCACAAAATTAGAGAGATATTGCCTTTTGAGTGGCAAAAACTCGCATGAAAAATTCGGGATCCTTGACGCTGCATCGACAAAATTTGAGAGACCCTACTCTTCGAGTGTAAAGGTTTTAGATCAATTTCAGTCATTGCCCGGTAGTAGCAAATCCAGCTCTATTACCAGCCATACCACACAGGCTTTCCAAAGGTTGTAAATTGGGTCGGGACATGAAACCTTTTTCATCGCAGTGTTGTGGACTTCGCATACGCGCGTTTCGAGTGAAGTTATGACAAACCGCGCTGCAACCGATTGCTTTACTGTACATTGATGGAACGCACTTATTCACATCAAATGAAAGTTAGAGGGATCGAATCAAGATCCCGATGTGAGAGGGGGGCGTACGGAGGTGACACGTCCTTGCCACGATTTCCATCCTGCTTAGGCCCTTTTGCTGTGCACTTTTGAATTGCAGCAGTGTAGCGGCTCATGGGCTTCAAGATCTCGCTTTCTCATTCTGAGTGGGACTAACTCGACACCTAATCCCGACCCGTGGCTTTCAGTACCCAAACAAACGGTCGTAGTTTCATGCACTCCGTATAACATGAGTGGCTTGTGCACCGGTTGGCTTCCACAGTTCTTTCATATGGTAGGAAAGAAAGCTTTCGAAAGCACTGCAACAATGGATAGAAGTCGGTTCATGGAGCAACAAGGAGCTAACTTTAGCAGTTTGGTAAATGTCTGCTGAAATGAGCTTCTTGTTACGATCTTACTTGTTAGTCCTGAAGCATCAACTGTTCTACGATTCCGCAGAAATTGAACACCTGCACAGAAATTCACTGCAACAATTTTCCATATTGCATATTCTTCCTCTGAAATCTCACATGTCACTGTACCAACAGAGAACAGAGTACCAAGTGTACACAGGGATAGCGTCACATAGTAGAGAAAGCTTTTGGCATCCGTTCTAACATGAAAACATCAAATGCTCAATTGAAATTAAAATATAGGTCGTATTAGGTACCGGATATCTTAGTGTCGTTTTTTCACCGAGTTTCGGACCACCAATATTTTAATTCAGAATCCGGGGAGTGAAACAGCATATTCATCGAATGACTCATTAGCACTTTCCCATTTACCAGTATGAGTGGAAACCTCGTACGATTAAAGCTAGGAATTTTTTGAGTCGAAAAAGAGAGGTAGGTCGGTTTTGACATCATCTGACAAATCATCCCTCTCACTTGCTAAAAAGTTAGGCCTGGACAAAAGAAGTATACAGTTAGTTAGAGTAGGGTCTGCACTGTATGGTGGAAAAGTTATAACTTACCAGCTCAACTGGACAATTTTTCCCGGAGTCTTTTTTGCCACATAGGGTCAAAAACGCACCCTTTTTGAGCACACGTGAGTAGCAGATGAGCACATTTATTAGAATTTCTTGTGCAATCAACTTCGTTGAACGTTTGTGCATCATCGATCAGTCACTGCTAAGGTGTCCTACCATTTCAGCACAAGACTGGTGCAGCCCCGTCTCGACTGATTTAACTAGGGCCACCTTTTTGACGACGATTGCGGGCATCACTTCAAAGACTTCACTGTCC